ACTTGAAATGTGCCGGACCGAACCCGAACACTTACACCTGCATCCACTGCGAGTCGGAATAATTTTTTTTCGCCAATTCCTATTTTTCTTATTATTTATGAATCACTCTTTCATTTCCCTTGATAAGTAAATGTTTTTCATCGGTAACAATCATGTCTTAATCGATTTACAGACTAACCGACATTCCCCACCTTTTTTCAAAATCGCAAAATCAGGTTTTTTGCGCCAATGGCTATAACTTTTAATTTTTTGTAGAATTTTATCAAACCAATATTATCAAAAGGAAGGTTACGACTCGCACTACAAATCTATGCTTTGGAATTTTCACAAAAAATAACTTTTATGTGACTTTTTAACCGAAATCAAAACGTGACCCAACATTCCCCCCTACATATTATTATTTCTTTGGCACATTTATCTGTATGTTTACGAAAACAAATGTGAGCCATATACATATGTACATACATTCATAATAAGAAGTGTCGCACGCTTCTTTCGCATCTCCGTTGTCACGGTCAACCAATGGCCGAAACTTGCGTTTTGTCAAAGAATCAAGTGCTGAACACATTGAGTACAGTTATGTAGTTGTGCAGCTGCCTCAATACCTGTGTCGATAAGAGTGTGTGTATTCTAATATCTGTCGCGTTCATTGGTTCAGCATTTGTGTGATGATAGAAAATCCAAGCTGAGCCGAAAAAAATAAACGAATAGCCGCCTATTGACCGCTTCCCTTGCCGCTGTAACAGCTTCGCCTACAAACTAGCGTAAATATGTATGTATATTTATCAGCTTGCATACATATCGACGCAGATTTTTAGAACAGACATAAATATTATAAATGGACAACTCCGTTGTTGCCACTTTTCTGACTACTTTCTGTGAAGAAGCATAAGAAAATTGATCAATTTATGATTTTTAGCTTTTGCCATCGTCGCGAAAAGACGCTTGTTGGCGAAGGCATGCTCGGGGTGATGTTACGGCGTCTGTTTTTATGAATGAAGCGAGGCACTTGTCTAATATATAAAAATTAATCGCAAAATGTGTTGCTAAGCGCATAACTCAACAACGTCTGCACCAATTTGGTCAATTCTTTTTTCTAAATGTTCGTTGAGGTTCAAGGATGGTTTTCACGGCAAGAAAATTTCGAATAATTGCCTGAAAAGCCCTAAAAACACCACTTTTTTCTTTCCCATACAAACGAATGAATGTTTATTGGTTAGTAACGCTAAGAGAACGGCTGCACCAATCTTGATGAAATTTTCAGAGGTTGTTCTCTGTGGATCGGGGACGGTGTTGAAATAAAAAAAAACGTGTGCTTTCGTGAGGTATGTCGGAAAATTGGACAATTACAAAAATCAGCTTTTTTCCATAATATTTTTTTTTCAATTATTTGAATCGTTCAATTTCGGTCGCTTCTTTTTTTATCCGGCTATTCAAAAGAAAAAATGTTGAAAATTATTCAGTGAAAACTGTATATGTGTTTCAGAGAAGGTGAACAATTGCAGATGGAAATTTGTTACGATGTCATAGCATAACTTTTCAAACAACAGTCTCGATGTTTGTTGGACTTTTTTCTTGACGCAACATGTGGTATATATGGTGCTGTTAAATGCTGGATGTATTCTGTTGGAAAAAAGGTTAGCCGCACGCACACATTTTTCTTTGGATGGTGGATGGTGGTTACACAAAATCAAATTGATGAAATAATTTCTGCGGAAATTCCTGGCAATGGCAGAGCATTTAGCATTCAATTTAAAAAAGTAAATATCGAAGTTGATAACACATGGACTTATAACCATTATTGTTTAATCCACGTTCAAAAGTCATACTTGATTTCTGCAGTTTGGTGAAATCGATAAAATACGTTTGTAAGTACGTCACTCAAGGAAGCAACATGGCGGTTATTGGTCTTGAACGATACGGTCGATACGTGAACTGCAATAAAGCGCTTTGTAGGATATTTTTTTGCAATTCATGAACGCGTTCCGACTGTTGTTGCGTCTCGCAGTTAATTTGGAGAATGGCCAAAGAGTGTATTTCAACCCAGAGAATACAAAGCAAGGCCAAATAGTAGATGGACATCTAGGTGTGTTTTCGACTAATGCATTAGGACGAATTTACACAATCCACCCGAAAAACGACGATTGCTTCTACCTTCGCTTGTTATTGATTAATGTACGCGGATCAAATTAATTTGAGGTATCAAGCAAGCCAGCAATTACAATTATTGGAACATGATAATCACTGGAATCAAGCGATGGACGATGCGATAGCTACTTCGAATGCTATTGAAGTTCGCACACTTTTCGCGATGATCATTTCGACATATCAGCCTTCAAATCCGCGTCAATTATAAGATATGAACAAAAATTACATTACTGAAGACATTTTACATCGCATTGGTCAATTTCGGTTGATACTTCCGGTGGTTTGATATCAATTCGATCTGCTGTTTATCAATTCACGAGAGACGAACTCATCACGAATGTTTGGACATTGGAAAAATTATTGTAACTACGATACCTTAAGTGCACACGCAATCTTAGCTCCCAAAAATACCGATGTTGTTGACTTAGACTGGAAGATTCAAAGTGAAATTCCAGGAGACTTGCGCTCATACAAATCGATCGATYGTCTTGACAATGAAGACGACGCCGTGAATTATCGAGCGGAATTTCAGCGCATCATTTCCGTCTCAAAGTTGGATCTGTCGTTATTATGTTTCGCAATGTGCCGAAACTGTGTAATGGAACCCAACTGATTGTGATGCACCTATCGAATACAAGGGGGCATAATGATTGATTCTACGAATTCCTTTGAGTTCTAACGATTTGACATTTCAGTTCAAAGGCATTCCGTTTCCAGTGAAAATTGTATTTGAGATGACAATAAACAGCATACAAGGATAGTCGCATAGTTTCACGCAGGACAACGGCTGCGGGATCAGCTAGTCATATATTTTTTGGATCACTAATCTGGCAACTTTTCCCGTTTACAGCTGTGCTTTCGTGCTCTTAGAAATTCGTTTAATTTATATAATATTTAAAACTTTGTGGTGAAATTATCTGAATTAAATGAYCCTTAAAGATAAGTATAACAGTGATACTTCTATTAAAGTAATTGAAATTTACTTTAATTGTGTGTTGGTTAATTTAAATTTATTCCGCCGAGTCACTTTCAATTTGTTGTTGTGCTGCATTTTAAATAGTGTAATTGTTAGTGTTAATTTTTATTGCTTACTTAAATCTTCTCTTGTTTTTATTCGTTTCCATATTTGTCCACAGCTGTTTGCGAGTTTCTTACTTTTCATGTGTTACAGTGCAACCCACACTGCTCGCTATATTGGCTGTTATCTTTGATAACCAATTATTTTTATTGCATTCATTTGTTATAAATATTTTTGTCATTGCTCTTTTAACTTTTATTATTTAACACTTTTTATATTTTTATTTAATACTGTTTTTTTACATTATGACTTGTAACTTTCCGAACGGCTCTAGGCGAGTCGGAACGCTTTGTTTCTTGTTGGCTTTGTGATGGGCTTGCCCATTTGAAATGTGCTGGACTGACAGGTAGGATATTGGATTCTATTCCTGACAGCAAGGGTTTGTGCTGGTCTTGCTCGAAATGCAGACCAACAGAAATTGAATTGTTTAAAGTTTTTAAGCAGGCGCGTAATCGTTTCAAGGAGATTGGTCGTGAGCTTGAAACCCTTACTGAAATATTTAGGCATTATGAATTGTTAATTCAATCATATCAATGCCTAAATGGTCAAGAAAAGAATTCAAAACCTTCATCTAAACGTAAACGTCCGTCTGATGAAGATACCACTGTATCTTCCTCAAAAAGAATGTCCCACGCCCTATTGACCTCATCAGTCTTTCATCCCCTTGTCCCTAAGGAGAGAAGGTTCCACCTGCTAAGGACACAGAGAAAACTGTTACTGAACACGCTAAGTGGAAAACTTTTCTAGATCCACCTCCTAATACTTCCAAGTCAGCTAATACAATCTTCGTTGTTATCGATCGGAAAAAGGCAATTTTTTTCTCGGACTTAATGTGGATACCACAGGCGATGWTATAAAAAGTGATATCTTGTTGAAATTAAAAACGGTAGATAGAGACCTCCGTAAATTTAATTTGAAATACAACAGGGATGTTTCGTCGTTTAAGATCGACGTATCCGATGACAATTTTCGATTGATATTTGACTA